TACTATAAATATGCCTTTAATCTATTTTTTTAATTATTTAAAATATTTAAATAAAATTTAATATAATAATATTTTAAAATAAAAATTAAAATTTTAAATATTTGTATTTATATTATAAAACAAAAATTTAAAATTGCTTATAAACTAAAAATATATAATTTTAAAGAAATTTTTTAACTAAAAAAATAATTCACAATTTCTTGGCAAACTCTTTAAATATTAGTTTTAAAAATATAGTTTCTAATACAATATTGTAGTTTATACAAAGAATAACAACTATAATTATTGCACTTTTAGTAATTTATTTATAAAAATTAAGGCTTGTCTTAATAGTAAAAATTTTTTATAGGCAAAAATATATAAAATTTAAGAAAATCTAAAGAAAAATTTTATAAAAAAATTTTAATACAAGAACTTTAGACTTTTATTATGCTAAAGTTTTTTAAAAATTTTTATAACAAAGTTAATAAAGCAAATCTAAAATTAAATATTTTATTTAGAAAATATATAGCTAAAATTAATATTTAAAATTTTATTAAAAAAATTTAAAATTGACTATTTACTTAAAAAATTTCAAGAACTCTTCCCAACGATCTCTCGTACCAAATCACAACAAACTTTTTTCTTTAAAAAACAGTAAACTATAACAAAAAAGAAGAAAGTAAGACTGGTCAAAACAATAAACTGGCACTTGTTATTTAGAGATAGTTCTCATATACTACCTGCTAACAGGCCCAGAGCTTATCACTCACCATGAGGATGGCACTTGTTATTTAGAAGTAGTTCTCATATGCTATTTCTAACAAGTTCAGGGTTTATCACCTACTGATAAGAAAATCAGCAGTACATTTGGCTCTGTATGTTTTATTAGTTTTGGGAAAAAATATACTTTCTTTTAAGAAGAGTACAAGGGCTATACTATATACTTTCACCACTTACTCTTTTAACAAAATTTTTATAAAAAGAGGACAAAACAGCTTACCCCTGTCAAAATATTAGTATTGTTTACTCTATACAAATCGGGACATTATAGTAGATTGCAACCATGTATTTTGTTTACCAACAAATATGATGCTACTTCACATGACAAGGCCTCTACCTAACAAGCCACACACAGATGCTCAGATAGTCAAGAAGAAACTTTTTGTTAAGGTATAGCTTTAAAGTAGAGATATACAAATACTGTATTTGTTATACAATTTTTTTTTTAAGCCTAGCACAGGTTATAATAGTGTATTTTTGTTTCTTTTTTCTTTTTATCAGTTTTGATATTTATTTTCTTTTGTTATTTTTCTTTTTTCTCTTTTTCCTTTGTCATTATCTGACTTCTTTTCTTTTGTTTTTTCTTTTTTGTATTGGGTTTTTCCTTTTATTAGTAATTTCATTTTCTTGTTAGCATGTTATACTTTTTCTTCTTTCTCAATTTGCCCTTTATAAAGAAGGAAAATTTTTAAAGAAAGGAGTATGATCCTGATATGACATTAACAACTATTTAGTGATGTTGGGAAACAAGTTTCAAGTATAGTTTGAGACCTTGACAGAGATAAATAGTTATATGGCAGGTCGCATCTAGGTACTTCAATATTGAGTAAGTCTTTTTTACACTTTTAGATAAATTGTATATTGTTGTAAGTAGCAATAATCACTATTAATTCTAATAAAGAAGAAAGGCAGAATCTTCTAATATAAAAAAAAAATAAAAAAATTTAAAATTTAAAAAAAGTTGCAGAGAAACTTATTTGCAATACAATTTAAATAATAGATTTTGCACTCACTTTAGAACTTACTAACTATTTTAGACTAGTTTATTTATGAGATAAACTTAATAAAATAGTTTATATTTTATATATATTTTGTTTATATTTTCAGTAACCTTATTAGAAAGTTTTAGAAGTGTTAGCTTACAAAGTATGATGCATTATTTAACAAACTCTACATAGTTTAATACTTTTTATTAATAAAATTAATATTAATTAACAGAGATATAATAAATAGCTAATAAATAGTTATTTATCTCATTTCTATTGTTTAACACTAATTTTATTATTAATATAAGTGTTAAACTATATAGGGTTTGTTAAGCAATACTTTATATTCTGTTAGTTAACACTTCTCAAAACTTCTTAATATTCTTCCTAACTAAAAATTGTTGTACTGCTATTACTAAATTTATATCTTTTAGAATACTGCTATAATCTATTCATATCTCAAACTACAATTTTTCTAATTAGTTTTTTATTACTTACTTCCTGCTTTTGTAAAGTTTACAATAACTTTGATATCTATATTTAGACTTCTTTCTTTTCTGGATTTATTATCAGCTCTTTCTTACTTCTAGCTAACAACCTAAAAGTACTGTATTAATCTGCTAGACTTTAGATATCTTATAGTTGCTTTCTTTTTAGTATATACTTCTAAAGCATATATCTTTTTTATCTAATAGTAATCTGGTAGTTTGGCTATAAATAGCTCATATTAAATAAGATTAATTAGACCAATAAATAATTACTATACTTAGACTAAGTATGCTTAATATAATTAGATAGCTATTAAGATTTTTATAAGTACTACAATTAATTAAAATATCTGAAATATATAACAAAATTTTGTAAACTAATTTTAACTTATTAAAGATTTTAAAGCTGTTAATACTTGTATATTTTTTTAAATATTGTTTTGTGTTGCTATTATAGTTTGAAGCTTAATTACCAAATATGGGATTTTGTCACTACCTGTAGCAGCTATAGAAACTAACTACAATATAAGGTTCTTGTATTGCTATTGCATCTATAGAGCCTAATCACAATATAAGATTTTTGTACTGCTATTATCCCTTAAATTGTAATACAGGCAAATTTGCCTGTGTTTTTATTAAAAAGTTTAATTTTTTTAATTTTTTTTATTTATTTATTTTTTTTTTTTTAACTTAGGCAGTCCTGCCAGTACTTTATTAAGTTTAATATATGTTTAAAAACTACATAAGTTATCTACTTAATTACTAAGTTTGACATCATTCCAATATTACATTAATATTTAAATGCGACCTGCCGCATTAGTATATACTACTAATAGGCTATGTCGAATAACCTAAGCACCATACCAAAAGGGCTTCCTTCCTCTCGATATGTATAATTCGATTGCTTTTCTCTGGAGTTACTGATTTTCTTGTCTTTGTCCTCTTTCTTCGCAGTTTTCTCAGCACTTGTAGTACTACTTTCTGCCTAAGTATTTGCTACATCTATACCTTTTAGCTGTGTCTCTCTACCTCTCTTCTTTTCCAACCCTAATAGCTTTGTTCGTGATGGAGTCTTCTCTTTGCTTGCTTTGGCCCTCTTAATTTGTCTTCTAATACCTTGGTTTTCTTCTCAATCAACTACTTTCTAACATCTAAATTTCCAAACTATTTCATAGAAACCATTCCAAAGTAAAAAGGTAGCATCTTCGAGGAGCTGTCTTGAGACTGTATGTAACCCTATTCTTATATGCATTTTACGGAGGGCTTCTTTATGTGATAACCCTTTGATTGCTTCTACTCTCCTTCTTTTCCCTTCATCTGGACTTCAGCCTAGAATAATTTCTGCCAACTCTTTCTTAGTAGATATATATGTCTTCTCCTCTATGACTATTGTCCATAATGTGTCAACTATCATCTTCTCTATTGTTTTCCAACTTTCTTCGCGTATACTGCAGGTTGCTAAATGTTCCAAAGTTTCTGGTGCTATGTTGCAACCTATGCAATTTGGAGATACGTAGAGATTGGGCTTTCGTCTATATAAAAATTCAAGCGTGGGAAATCGATCTTGGATGCATTTGATTAGCGTACTCAGCTTTTTACTTTTTCTTGTTGAGTCGCATTTTATACCTGACTGGTTTTTAAGTCTTTTCCAAAAGATCTCCCAATTGTAGTTTGTATCTACTTCGTAGCTTCCGAGTGGTTCTACTGCACCTGAGGACCACCATTCTGCTCCAGTTTTCAGATTGAAGACATAGCTTATGAAGCTTCTGGGCTCTGGCTCTACACAAGTGTTATTCTAGTATAGCTTAAATGGGATTCTTAAGCTTAGATAAGGATTATGTATCAGAATTTTGTCTGAATTTGCACCATCTTTTGCTAGTGCATCTGCTATATTATTCTATTTGCTGTTTGCGTGGGCTTTAACCTTGGTCAATGTTAAGTTGATTTCTTTTATTCTGCACAAAACTGCTATTGCTAAGGCTATTTCTACATTCTTAAACTTGTACCAGTCTTCTGAGCTTGACTTTCCAAGATATCTCTTAACGATCGATAAAGCCACGGCACTGTCTGATGCAATTTTAACCTTTTTCCTAGCTGGTACTGTTAATAATGCTAGCCAGAAAGTATATAGCTCTGGCTTAGTAGAAGATGGCCAGTCACGAAGTCCTATATAACCTTTATCTATTATTTTAGTTTCTTCTACGTTTACTTGGACCCAGCCTGCGCCCATCTTGCTACTATCATCTATACCATCTGATGTACTTATTAGCAAGCCATCTGTATATATTACAAAATTTTCTTCTCTACTATTAATATTGTTTATCACTTTTTTACATAACTCATCTGCTATTTCTAGATTCTCAATCTGCTTTCTGATTAGCTCTATCTCAAGAGAGTCAATTGTCTTGATGCCTACTAGCCTTTCTTCATTTTGGAATCTATTTGCTCTTGCCTCTTTAGATTTTCTGAATATCATCTCCTCTTCGTCTATTATTATCTCTCCATTTTTGATTAGATTCTTAGGCAGGGCTCCTATTATTAGATTTTTCTGCACTCTTCTAATATTTTTCTGATCATTTACTGAGCTTGTTGGTGTGTCTATATCGACCCATATTTCTTTTCTAGATTTCTTGACAACTCTGCCTCTCTCAATAACATTGTGCGTGTCATCTTTATTGTCTATTAGTATATATTCTCTTTTTTTCTTATCAGAGGAGAGGTTAGGTAGCCAAATCTTCATTGCTAGACCGTTACTGCTGCTAAGTCACCATTCTTCTTGAAGGTCCCTTTTGAGTGAGTCTACTAGCAGTATATTTTCCAAGCTTTGAAACCATTTTGCCTTTTTGCCTTTACTTAGCATATTTTTCAAAACCTTCATCTGTTTCCATGTAATCATTTCTGAACCTTCCGAGTTGATTAATTGGTATATGTAGAATACACCTAGCTTTTGCAGACTTTTAAAGTCTTGTGTCATTAAACTAGAGCTGATAACCTCTCTGATAGTTTTGCCAAAACCATGTGTCGCCCACTCTGACTCATCAAGATCGATGTAAAGGTTGGACTCTGCCATATTCCATAGAGTTGTACAGGCTAGGTTATTTCTCCACAATCTTTTTAAACTACTATCTTTGAAACTGTCTTTAATGTTCTTGACAATCCCTGCCCGTAACAAGCCCTGTTTAATTTGCAATTTTGCAAAAGGACTTTCTATACTCCGACTATTGAGTCGTTTTAACAAACTTGTCGCCTGTTTGGTTATTAGCTCTTGCCACAGTGGCTTGCAGTTGCCTAGGTTCTTGTGAAATATTGCAAAGTTGCCCATTGTACTAACCATCTCTGCTTTGTTCTTAACTAGTCTA